AGTTCGCCTGTTCGTATTTACCTTTGTAAGTTTTGAAAAATGGCTTGAACGAACCAGTATAACGTAGCCTAGCCAAATGTTTAAAGAAACTTTTCGATACTAAGTTTTATTAAAACAAAATGTCAAAGTCAGCTTCATATAGAAACAAAGTCTTCGTTAGTTATAAGAAGAGATTTTCTTAAATATAATGGCCCGTAGTCATAGTCAAAATAAAGTCGACTTTAAAGTTAGTTGCAGCTTTTTGACATAATTTTCAATGGGATATCTGTCAAAAAAGCTGCAACTAACTTTAAAGTCGACTTTATTTTGACTATGACTACGGGCCAATACCTTTACGGCACTCACATATTGACAAGGTTTTACTATTTATTTTATTATTCTTTAATTTTAATTATCTGTTTATAAACTATAATGTATTCTTTAAGAAAAACTGTATAAACCCAAGATTAAATCTTTGCGAAACATCCAAAAACCAACATACTGTCGTAAAAATTTCGAGCTTTATTAATATTCTTTAGTTTTTAGGCCATTCAATTTTAGTATAATAAAGTGGAAGTTTAAAGTAGCTGGGACTTACCGTTGAACTTGGCAATTTTGTTTTGTCGACGATGTCAGCCATTTTCTTCCATACGAAGTGTGTTCGACGATTTTTAGCAACACCTTCATCAAAGAAATCTTAAAAAACTTAGTTATATTAAAATTTAATGGGCTAAAAAACCACACACTCAAAATAAATCTAGGAAATCGAATTAAATAGATCGAAATTTTTACGACAGTGTGTTGGTTTTTTTAATGTTGCACAAAGTTTGAACCTTGGATTTGTACGGCTTTTCTTAAAATATAAAGCGTATTTTTACAAAAAATAATTAAAATTGAATAATATTAAGATAAATGGTCAATATCTTCTCGTAAAGTTTTGATAAGTACTTGAAATTCTATTAAAATGTCAAATTTTAGTACTGAATCCAAAGAAAATGTCCTTGAAGGGAATGTACTAAGAAAATATATGAGCGAATTAAAAAGTGTATACAATTTATAGCCGAAAAGTACATTTTTTGTATAGATTTCGTACTGAAGGAATAATTCATATCCCAACACTGATACAGAATGTAAACAAACACAGGGTTGCAAGGAAAAAAAGTTGAACGAGCTCAAAGTTGGCTGGCGACCAACTTTGTTGAAAGCGATTAGTTGAAAGGCCGTTCGGACGAGGCGATTTTTGCTTTCAACTAAAAGTTCCCTGAAAAATCGCCTCGTGCGAATGCCCTATAAACGATATTCGAACCAATCGTTTTCCACGAAATTGGTCGGCAGCCAACTTTCGTTCAACTTTTGATTGAACTAATCGTTGGAAAGTTGAACAGTGTTAACGCCCATTAAGTGTGTACAGAATGCATCTAATACAAGGTAGCATGGAGTAGCAAAAACTCTTTATGTAAATTTTGTTTTACTTTTATTACAAAGTTTTAGCACCTTTATTACGCTTTGTATACATACATATATGCAAAATTTAATATTAACACTAGGCATTTTCACAAGAGGTGCAGTACAATATGGGTACCTATCGAACATTTATAAACAATACAGCTAAAAGCAGCGAAAGACATCACTGCCTTTGTTTTTAAGTTTTGGCAGCACTGGTGACATACGTTCTGTGTTCTATAAGCACAACCCGCCACCACCCTGCATTATTATTAAAAACACAAACAACAAAAGCAGCAACAACACTGCGAATAATGCTGCCCCAATCGTACGCCTGGCTGTGGGGTATTTTTGTGGGGTTCGTTCTGTCGTGTGTTCGGGCAATTTTCTGGACAAAATTTTCATCTGCTCGGAAATGTTGGATTTTCTAGTTGAAAAAGTAGAAAAATTGTGCGAATCCTGCCAAAATTATTAAATATGTTTTTTGCAATGTGAGCGCGGCGCTGTGCAGTGACGTGACGGTGATTAAACCCATAATATATTGTCAACAAATTTACACGCAGGTGCGTATATTGCACGCAGACGTGATGGACGTTTCGATTTTCCCCACTGAGTTTGCTCTGCTCCCACAACAAATGGAAAAAAGAAGAAAACAAAAAAGCGAGGGCCTAGGGAATCCAATTTTACAAGTGGCTAAAACAAATAAACTTCAGGAATAGAACTGTGTTAACCTTTTTGGATCCAATTTATATGCAATATTCGCTGAAAGATTGGTTGGGGGTGTAACCCTAGTACACCGTCCGTCAGTCTCCGACCAAGGAATGACCGTAGCGCGGTGCGGTGCTGAATGTACTTTTCTGGTTAGATAACCGATTGCACTTGCTATGTGCTTCAATTGAAATCTTGACCATATTTGTAAAAGGCAGCACAGTGATATTAAAAAAAAAATATGCACATCGATAGCAATTGCTTTAGTTATTGTTGAAGTTCTTGAATGGCGCTCGTTGCTCATATAGTGGACGTTAATGCGAGACTGTCAGATGGCTCCTAGCCACGCTACTCTGTGCGCTGTGTACGATATTTGGTCAGGCGCGGCACTGCTTAGTGCTTCTGCGAATGTCCGGAATCCATGCATGCTCAATAGCAACCCGCATTAATTTGTGTAAGTGGCGCCGAAAATTTCCCAGCAATAAAAATACATTCGTAACATACATATGTATATACATAGTATGCGTTTTCGTTATACATATCTACATATGCTGTTTATTTTAACTATGGTCT